TTACATCCCCCAAAGCTCTATCAAAGATGTACCTTTCAACATCACCAAAATGCAGTTTAATGACAGGACCAAGGCTTATAATTTTTTGCTTTTCATGATTCTTGATAGGAACAACACAATAAAAGCTCGATGTTTTTCGTCTCTGGTGAAAAAAGTATTTAAAACGGACTTAAGCGGATTGCTTGCGACACTGACGATATTTACTTTTCATATTTATATGGCCTTCTAAGATCTCCTAGCACTACTTTGACCCCTAACTATTACACATTGAGAGTGTTCATGTTTTATTGAAGAGGATTTAAGCGTGAGACAACAGCTGGTCCTAAAGCCCCCAAAAGGACATACATTTTCAGACCAATAAGGGATGGACTTGAATTGGGAGGTATATGTACATGTTTCTAAATCAAACATCCTCCCACTATTTACAGCAATACAAACAAAAATTCAGAAGGGAATTTAATTCAAGCTGTCCTGACAAAAGCCAAGAATGTAACCGTTATCACACATACACCAGAAGGCAGGAGAGGTGTTAGAAAGAAACCTCGAATTCCAGGAGCCAAACTCCAAAACCGAACCCTGGACCCTAAACCCAACCCCAGCCCCAATCCCAACCCCAAACCCAATCTCAAACCCAAACTCCAAACCCGAACCCCAAACCCCGGACCCAAACCCAAACCCCAAACTCAAAACCCAGACCAAACCCAAATCCCTCGAAACCAGCACTAGCGGTGTCAGGATATGATGCTGTGTCTCCGGCCCCCGTCATAGACATGCTCCAACACCGGCTTCAGCTTCTTCACTCCCACGTCTGAGTTGTCCCCCCTCTTGGACATCAGGGGCGACACTGTCGACTGACTCTCTCCCTTCAGGAACCGGGTCTTGGGGTGGAGTCGATTCTCATCTGTGAACAGATTTGTAGGTTCAGATTATTTATCTGTCTATCTCATCTGCATAACAAAAATACAGTGGTGTTTTGGAATCCAAAATAGAACTTGGAGAAGAGTCTCAAGAAATGATTTCACAAAAAAAGATTAAAAACAAAAAAAGAAATATTATTATCTTTACAAAACACAAGCATAATAATTAATAAGGTTCAGGGATGTTGATTCAAGCGTCCGAAGTCTTCATTACCTGGACATCTTGAACGATCCCATTGGGAAAGTTGAACGGGAAGGACTTTTATTTGACTTTGATGATTTTTAAAAAGAATCATTTGTAAATTGCATTCTGCTCATCATATTAATTTTTTGGGGGCCGGGCACAGAAAATTTACAATACCCCCC